GAACTCGTACTGATCAGACCTGGACTTGACCTGGAACTGCGGGGCGTCTTTAATAGGCAGTGTGAGCAAACACGAGTCAATAAGACGGAACATGGAGAGACGGGTTTGAGGGATGAGTGAGAGAGGAGGGGCCAGATGGGCACTCCAGGTGGTCTAATAACAGCCACCGCTTAACTGGCCTCTAAATACTCCTGCCAAACATGCAGTTAGGCCAAATAAAAGGGCCGCCGAGCGATACTGCGGCAAACTTCATGGATTTCGAGAAAATACTTGAACGTTTGACATGAATTAAGATGTTGATTGCTATGTTGTAAATTATGCAATATTTTTGACTGAATTAATTGTCCTCTTGGGTGATGTCAGAACTCTACTACAATCAAATATATTTCAGTTTACAAGTTCAACACTGTCATTTGTAATTAAAGCAGGTGTCCTTCCATTGAAACCTTTTACTTTTCATCAACAGCATTTCATATTCTTTAAAATATACAATAAGAAAATAAATAGATAGACATTTAAATAGTAACAGACAGATGCATGTACTGTATGTATATAAAAAACCTGCGACAGTACATTCAAAAACAAGTCTTACTGGACATAATACACTCAACAGAGGTAATGTCAAGACAACATTATACAATTTGTGATTGCATGAAAACTCCTCAAATGAACAGTTATCTTACATGCAGACGATTGGGAAGCTTTCTCACCCTGACAAGACGGAGAGCCATAATTATTTTTCTGTAGATCAAGAGTAAAATGCATTGAGGTCTATTGAATTGACTGGCTGCAGCAGTTTGGCAGCGAATATTATCTATGTTTTTACAAGCAGCCAGTTTTCCTTTCCCTTTCTTACCCTTGTCCACAGCAGTAAACAGTGCTTTTTCGTGTTTGTTTACCCGTTTCTTTTTTTCATTTTTTATGACAAAGCAGCAGACGACAGGCAGAGAGGCTGTGTGCAGTTAGTTTGAGTGTTCACACGCGCTGCTCCAGTGTGAGAGGGGGGAATCCTTCAACATCTAACAACCACTGTGGAGCAAATATGTCTCCAATTGTGGGTGCTTTCCATTAAAGCTGCACAAAATGTCATAAAAAATACAACTGGTGCTATTAGCGTCGACGGCATTCACACCACAACAATCAAGGTAACGCAAAAGTAGTACTTCTGACACACATTTTCCAGCGGGTGTGTGTAACCTGATGTACGAAATTGAATAGGATTTGGGAAGAATGGCAAAAATAATCGCTATTTGAAGCTGCAGTTATTGTAAGAGATATTGTTTTTATACTGTAAAAAGTGGGATTCAAATTTATGTTATACCCCCTTTATACAATAGAGGGCAAGGCAGGTTTATTTTTATGGCACAATTCATACACAACTTAAAGTGCTGAACAAAACAAGATAGAGAGACAAGGCATGAAAATAATACATACAGTATATAATCACAGTACATTGAAAGAGTGAAGATAAAATCCCTCAGTTGTAGGCACAGCTAAACAGAACTGTTTTAACCTCAACGTTATTTGTAAGTTCTAGTACCAATACCTGAACTGATTTTTTCTCTCTGCCTTTTATTATATTAGTTGTTATGTTGGTTGAAAATCTTTGAGCACCATATATTTGAGGAAAAGTATACACACTACATAACCCTAACTTTTTGGGTTTCATTGGTAGCTTTGAATAGTAGCCAACTATGATTATCACAATTTATGCCATTTTTTTCAGTGGTTCAAGTAGGGGTGGGAACCTCAGGGTACCTCACGATACGATACGATACGCGATACAAAGCTCACGATAACGATTATATCACGATTATATGACGATTATCAATACATTGGTCAGAAATATACTGTTATAGAAATCTTTTAGTAAAGCAAACTGAATAAACACGAAATAGTTATAAGTGTAAGTTATTAACTAATTCTCAACTCTGGATTCAAATACAGCACATATGGTCAGCTGATAGATGGAGATGTGTTTCTTTGGCAATATCTGGGTCATAAAACAATATGTTCCTGTCAAAGCAGATTATTACGAGATGCGTAATGTAGCCATATATTAAGTATTTTTTTTATTGATACTTGGCAAAAGCATATTCAATCAAGTGAGACAGTATCACGATACATCACCATATTGATATATCGTCACACTCCAAGGTTCAAGCGTAATATAATTTACATTGGGCTTCCCCTTACACCCCTCTACCAGAGAACCTATTGTCCTACAAAAAAATTTTATTTTTTAAGTTGAATAATCTTTCCAAAACCACGGTGGAAATTAATGAACACTCAAATTCAAACAAACTCATCTCCACATACTACTTCTGTCACACTGTCTCTCCATCTTAATGAACATTTTTGACAGCACATGGCCAAAAGCACAACAACAGAACGCTGCTCTACTCAAAACGGATAAAGAACACATTTGTGGGTCTGGGGGCAAATTGATTATGAAGCAGCCCAGTCTTATCAGTCCCACTCCCCTTTCCCCCTGTAAATGACTGATTTATCAGCCTTAATTGTTGGCACTGGTTCAGGCTGCCATGTGACCGCAACATGACAGCCCGTGATAAATACACTTTGGAAATTAAACCCGAGCAGCACGGTTTCAGTTGCGTCTGCGGCCAGGACAAAAGTAACAGAATATGCATAATCAAAATGGGAGAACTTGAACGGCAAACTATAAGGCCTGGGTTAAGTGACGAAAAGTGAAAATGTGGCAGTAATAAAAGGTCGTTTATCAAGCGACGGCAAAGGGCAAAAAGTGCAATCAATAGTGACAAGGAAGTAAATCTGGTGTTAGAAGGTGTCCGCTTATTCATATTAAAATGCACCCGTTACTGCAGAGCCCCGGCAGATGTTTGGGAGACTGGGAAATAAAAGATAAAAAAGACAGGTCGACTGTTTTTGCACCAGGAATGGGCAATAGATCAGTACCGGTATTGCCTGATATCACATTTTAGAATGCTTTTTGCCCATTCCAAATCATCAATATTTGTCTTTCCCAATTATGTAAAATGTTACCTTAAGAATTCACTAGCCTGCTTACTTGTCCCATATGCGGAGGTAAAGGCGTGCCAACACATAGGCTCCAGAGAACATGGCGCCCTCAGCAGTGATGCGCATGTTCTCACGTGTGGGGTTATTTATAGTTCACACTACATCACCTTTATGATTGTGCATTTGCTGCCGTCACCGGGTGTAATATAAGTTTAAGTTATGCCTTTTCCATCGCAAAATGCTACACGACAAATGAGAGCTAGAGATGCATTGGATGGAAAGGATTCTGCATTGTGTTTATCTCAAATGCAAGAGGGATTTCCAATGAGCAGTGAATCCTCCATGATCGACTTTGGAATGGATAAATGCATATGTAAAATCTCCAACTAGTTTACCACTCTCAAAAGAGTTGATGCATTCTCGACCTCTAGCTCAGCTTTCGAATGTCCCGACTTTCTTTTAAATTAAGACAACATTTCATGGTATGATTTGTTCACAAAGTTTTGCTTTTACAAGGCTCTTGCTGTCATCCATTGCATATATAAGAGGTGCTCTATGTAACTGTTCGAGATGATTCCCATCACCTTGTAATTGCTCAGCCTGGACAATATATAGCAAAAAAAACACAGGAATTAATACCTCACACTAAAAATGCATGCTTTTCAGGACTTCAAGACCCAAAATACAAAAAACAACATTCACACAACAAGAAATATCAAAAAACCCTTTCTACCTTTGATGCAAGCAGCTTTTGTTTGTTTACACTGCCTTACAAGCACAGGACTGCACCATTTTGTAAACCTTGGGATAGTTGATGCTGATATTGGTGTTATCAGAGGGTTTCCCAAGATAAGGACAAAATTAAGTCACTTACTACAGTCTGTGCTCGGCAGTGGTTTACACAGCGCTTTTCTACCAGCGAGGCACTGGAAAGCACTTCACATCACCACCTGTTCACTCGGACTCGTAAATATTGGGGGTGAAGCAGGTTAAAACTCTTGTCGAAGGACACAACAACAGCTATGACATCGTGTGAGGGAGAATCACAGGGTCAATTTCCAAGTTGCTCTACCAATGATGCTTTGGACGAGGGATTCGAAACACTTTTCAAAGGATGGGAACTGTAATGGCTCAATTACCAACAACTTGATCATATTTGAACAAAGGTGAAACATTTATTTTTTTGACTAAACATGAATTTTGGTATCGGCCATAACAGTTATCAGTTCAGAACAAAATCAGCAAATCAGACCTCCATCCATCCATTCTTCCCTTTAATCCATTTCTGTGTTGGGGGTGGTGGCAATCAGCTGCCACCCAATTCACAAGCACCAGCCCTACAGTACACTGATCCTCCTGCAGGTGAGTCCACAGGAGGATATCAAATCAGACCTATCCTTCATAAACTCATATGAGTACTTTTCATACACATAGAATAGTAAATAATGCTTAATATCAAACATTCTTGAATTGTGCATGGGTCTTCCAGGCATCCTTCAAACTTTGTCCATTAAAGCCACGTAATGCTTTTAGTCTGAGCCCAAAAGCGCACAACCAAGGGACATCTGGCCTTCTAACAATGCGTCTGGGACCATTTTGGACGCGCCGCTGTCTCTCCAGTGTATAATTGAATCACATCTCATACATTGTTTATTTCTGCAACTTTGCATATTGCATATTCCCAGGTAAAAAACACTAGCGCGCTCTGGGACGTGCGCGGAGGGGGCCGGCGCGACTTCTCAACCTCCTCCCACCACTATAGCACCTTATTTATTTGTCTGTATTAGTTAGCTCCTTTTCTGCACTTAAAATTAATGTCATCCTGCAGAAAATAGCGCCTGAAAGCTAAAATTCAGCACTTTCCGCGCGGCCCGGTTATTTATCAAGCTAACAAGGAGGAGAAGCATCCGGAGCGCAGGAAATATGTCCCATTAAAAAGCCCATGCGCTGGTGTTGGAGTAGCCGCGCGGCCAAAGTGAGCGTGTCAGGAAGCAGGGGGAATGGACTGCCTCGGAGCTAATATGGATGTAGAGGCGGCGGCCGACACATTTGTACACGGGACGGTCCAGGAGAGGAATGATGAGGGGAAAACAACACAAAGGTGGGATGGAGACAGCGAGGATGGAGGGGGAGCAAGAGCAGGTGAAGGAGTGTCCTGAAGGTGCCTGGTTTGATTAGACTTTTCCACAAAAGGAGAAAAAAAATGAATTTATGTTTCAAATGAACAAGACACATGCATTGAAGCTATTAGGAGTAATTTGAAAATGTGCAATTGATTTAGAACAACACTCCTGATCTCAAACTCAGAAATAAATCCAGAATCAATCAAACTTCAGGCATTTTACCAACACAGCTTTTCTCAATTGAAGTGAATGAAACGCTCTCAATCACTAAAGTTCTAATTAAAAACTGGTAAAAATGGGAAGGATGCATTAAGGCAGTTATCACAGGTACACTATAGAACTTTACTAGATGTATAGAGTACATAATGACATTAAACAGTGGTCTTGTTTTTCAGGGCTAAAGAAAATGGAAGCATAAAAACAAAGTGGAGGCATTGATCTGACTTGAAATCCAGTGCAACATTCCCACCACAACAATTGCAGTTCGCTTAAGACTTGAGACTCAAGTTTTTTGTTTTTTCAAGTTTTTTTTTTTTTTTCTATTGGTTTAACATCTCACTCTAGCTGCAAAAACGTAAATCCAAGCATATTATAAATTGTACATAAAGGACATTGTCAAAAGTCACTGTTCGCTTTTGACTGACACTAATTTGGAACATTTTGTGGTACAATCGAGACACAATTCTCGTTTTTTGTAGTATTTTGTTCAGCAGTCTAAAGTGATGTCAAACAAAAATAAAAATTACAAGATTCAACGGGTGTTTCAAAATCGGGAAACATCTTCTGGCCACCAAAAGTAAACCAGCTCTCATCCTGATCTACACCTACTTTAAGTCAAATCGAGCCGGTGAACCACAACTCACCCAAAACGTGAAAAAAACACACACAAATGCAGCTGCAAACTTCTTGATCTCAGCAAGACTTGTCGCTTTTAATAAATCATGCGACGCCAACTTCACACGCACATTCCCGCGGAGTGTTAGCAAAGCGCCGTGTTAACATCTCTGTAGCCACCAGCCCTGCAGAACGGAGAGGCTCCAGCGCTGGAGGGAGCGCCAGGGAACAATCGTGTTTGTGTGCGCAAGGAAAGCAGCGCGCTACGGGCTGAGAGGAAGGGCCTTGAGCTCACCCCAGGACCCGAATACATTACACCCTGCCGCACCGAATAAAACAACACAAATTATGCTTAAACAACTCAAATGAGCAGATAAATTGTGTATTAGCATAAGTTAAAAAGAACAGGATTTGTGTTCGGGGTGAGGCCCCAAGGTGCGTGTGCCAACGAGTCGGGATTTTCTAAAACAAACTTCAATTGTAGCTTTTTGATGGGATCATTTACACATTTTTAATATAATTTTGAGAAAACCATTTTTCATTGTGTTTTTTTTTGTTGTAAACTTTTTTTTACTGGTGCATTCTGGGAAAATATTACAGCAATTAGTAGACATAGTATGGCCATAGAGACGAGCTGAAACATAATTGATCATCTGAACAATACTGATTACAGCTCTAAGATTACAGTTTGATAGAAGGAGGCTGAATGTAGTTGCATTTGTAGCTTACTCATAATAGAAGAATATTTCTAGTATTAAAAGTATTTTTGTAGCCGAGTAGTTTTTGTATATATAATGGATGACTAAATGAAACGTAAAGCACTTTGAGTTTTATCACTAACAAACACAGATGAATGGTTGATCGATTGTAGCAGTAGTAGTGGTAAGTAGCAGGGGCAAGAGCAGCAGTAGCAGAACTAGTCCATAGAAGCAGCAGCAGCAGTCATAGTAATGTTGCCCTTTTATATAACAAGTAAACAAACACTGCCCACTCTAGATTCAGAACATCATATTTCACAAAAGGTCCAACACATTTCCTTTAGTCGCAGCCGACAGTCAAAAGTCACCATGCTGTTATTTTAGCCTCTTCACACCGCGCTTTTGCCGAATATAACGAAAGGTGAGCGGCTGTCAAAGTAGCACGCTGAACGAGCACCACACACACACGCACGCACACACACACGCACACACATATACGCACACACACACACGCACACACACACACGCACACACACACACACACATACGCACACACACACACGCACACACACACACGCACACACACACACACACATACGCACACACACACGCACACACACATACGCACACACACACACGCACACAGACGCACACACACACAGACAGTAGACGGTGGCTCTGTCTAAGTGCAGTTATATATAGTCAGACTAGTGAAGGGTGTCAGGCTGGAGGAGATGGGCTGTTTCCAGGGCCGCACCAAAGCCCCATGCGTGTCACTGCGCACGCCTGACAAAGTGAAACCAGCCGGGCTGTGTTGTTAGCGGCAGGATGAATACTATATTTATTGATAGCTTCTATACATAGTAATGCAAGGAATAGTGGGCTGGCATCTTTAAAACAAATGACTCAAATATACATGAATCACAATATCCAATGTTGAGTGGATAGAAAAAAAAACGATTACCGGAATAATAATAATTCTATAAAGCTTATAAATAGGATTACATACGGGTATTTGAGGCCTTCAAACAACAATGACAATAGGAAAAAATACACACTAATGAATCTTATAAACCGTAACAGGGAGCCTAAATGCTGTAAAATGCACTTATGTGGGATTCTCAAATGATATGCAAGGCTTTCCATATTTGTTTGCTCGTGTCCTAACAATGATGGACATTCTATCTCATCAACACAAGTAAAGGACATAAAAGTGTGTGTCCGGGTACAAGTTTTATCAAAAGACATATTTTGGGGTTACAGAAAATGCTTCACATTACATTTTTATGATTTTATGAGAGACGTGGGTCATCGGTGCGTCAGTCTGCAGTCAGTCCAAAGCGGTCTTCAGACTGGTCCGGGTCATAACACCAGGACATTTCCCATCATCATTAACATAATCCCCCGGTCTCATGTTCAGCACAAGGTTCCGCACACATGTATACATTCTATGTGATCATGGGCGTTCTATATAAATTTGATATATTCTGTGTGTTTCTGTATAAATATGATATCTGACATCTGCAGAAACAGCTGACGGAAGAGGCTTGCGTTTGCAGAGGTTTAGAAGAAAAAATAAAAACGTATTAATGCTCCCGAATGGTCATTTCTTCAAAGGAATAAAAACAGGTTCATCAAGTAGAGCTATGACTGACAAAGTGGATTTTTGTTGATTACATTTAAGTAACTAAGAAGCCTTTTTAAAGAGCGCCCCGCACAGAGATTGACGCACAATTTCACAAGTTAAACAAATTCAAAGATAGAGAAAAGATAAAAAATTACCTGTTCAATCCCAAAGCCTCAAAACTAGGGCTGCACCATTTTGGCACAAAATCCAATAGTAATTTTTCAGTAAAACATCCAATGTGCAATTCCATGTTTTTGTTTTGTTTTGTTTGTTTTGTTCAATGTAGATAAAGTCCGGGTAGTCCGGGTAGTCCGGGAGCATCACATTTGTGGTTACAAAAAGATCCATCAAACTCACTAATCCTAAATATTTGATAATATGTATGATAGTATTTTAACTTGTAACCTCTATTATCAACACTTAACATTTTGTAGTTCAAGCCTTTCACCAACTATTGTATTCAAAAGACTGGGCATTGTTAGCTCAGAATTTGATTTGTGACTGGTCAAACCCTGAGATTTCCATTTGATTGTGATTAATCCTCTGCTCAAACAGGACCAAAGAAAAGACTCCACCCAAGTACTCCTCTGGACAGTAATATTATTGACTGACACTGGTAAAAGTGAAAACTGGTAAAAGTGAAAAAATTCAGCTGGTATCCATATACCGTATATTCTATGACAATTCTGCAAGCTGCAAGCGTTTACTTTCACAATGCAAGTAAATATTTATTGCCAAACACCTGGGAGAGTTTCGGGCATGTACAAGCCAAGGTTCTGTACGAAAACCTATGGCTGTTCTGATGTGTTAGAAGAGTGGAGTTACATGAACTGGTTTGTGAACTTGGTCGGTCAAAAGTAACACAAATCGGATCTTAATCAATAAATGCCTAATCTAAACGTTTTGAAGTGAACTATAAAAATATATAACTGAATTAAAGCCGCAACCGGCGTCGAACAGCCCTCGCCGCACCGCGCAACTCCCCGCACTGCGCGCTGCACCCCGCACCACGCCGTCCCGCATCACGCCGCCCTGCACCACGCCGTCCCGCACCACGCCGTCCCGCACCACGCCGTCCCGCACCACGCTACCCCGCACCGCACCAAGCCGCAACGTGCCGCTCCACAACCCCCCGCACCACACCGTACCGCGCAAAGGAGGTGGCGCTGCCGTGTGATGATTTGTTCCCGTAGCCATAGAAGAATGTTAGTCAAAATGTAATGAATATGATAAGTAGAGCTGGTTTGGCTCCCCATATAAACTTTGACTCAGTCTGTAGGGGGCGCTAATGGGCCAATTTTAAATATTTCACTTTCACCTGACCCAAACCCTGGAGTTGAACATTGGATTCAAGTTTAATGCAAATCAGACTTTGTTTGTGCAAACGGGAAAAAAAATACAAAAAACGTTTCACTGATCAAAAATCCCTGAGGTCATTTTGATGGTACATGTGTTTAGACAATGTGGAGTGATATGGAGGCGAATCGGTAAAACGGCCGAGGAGGAGTCGCTTTCCAACCGACATGTATGAAAATGATTGCGAATCATTTTTCCATTTTGCAGTGAAATTTATGGGCCTCCTGCTTGTCAGAGGGCGGAGCCATGGTAACATTTCGGTCGTATCTTGACTTGAGGAACATGTGTACCGAATTGCATGGCTCTACGACAAACTTGACCTCTGAAACTCCCATTGGCTGTTGTAGGTGGCGCTGTTCTGGCATTTTTTGAGTCCCATAAAACTAAACACCAAAATATCAAATTTTTCACCAGGTCTGATGTTTGGGCAAAATTTTACAACTTTTCATGCATGTTCAGGGGGTGAAATTAAGGCTCAAAGTGCAGAATTTGACATCTCTCGAGCAAAAACAATAGGCCCTTTCCCCATTCGGGGCTCGGGCCTAATAAATAAAACTCCTTAGCAGAAACAGCACAGAAAACTAAGTAAAGAACTATTTTTATTAGAAAAAAACGTATCTTATATATAAAATCTTAAGTAAGTAATGTCAGTAATGTTTATTTATATAGCGCATTTTACAGACCGAGGTCACCCAAAGCGCTTTACAATGTTTAGAGTCAGGTTCCAATCATTCCACACACGGTGATGACGGAAGCGAGTCCAGAACACACTGGACCATCAGCCTCCAATCAACACCATCCATTCACTCGCTCATTCACATTCATACCTATTGTGCATGTTTTTAGTGGTAGGGGAAACCGGAGCACCCGGAGGAAACCTACGCAGACACAGGGAGAACATGCAAACTCCACTCAGAAAGGCCCTGTTCTGACCGGGATTCGAACCCAGGACCTTTTTGCTGAGAAGCAAGAGTGCTATCCACTCAGCCACGTGCCACTGGAATAATATACAGTATGTATCAAAAATTGAGTTTGAATTGTGTAGACACTGTGGAGAAACAATACTGCAGATGAAGTCTTGACTAGCTCTGTACCTCCAGCCTGTCTGGCCTGTCCTGCCTCTGAGCTGTGAGGCAGAGGCTGAACGGTGCAGGGTCTTGGTCCCAGAGCAGGTGCACTGCTCAGTTATTGCTCCCAATACAACAACTGCTACTGCTTCTGCAACCACTACAACTACAGCTACCACTACAACTACAACTACCACTATAACTAGAGTTACCACTACAACTACTGCTGCTACTACAACAACAACCACTGGTATCTGCTTTGGGAGGAACTGCATCACAAGGACTGCCTCCTAAACTACACTTTAGGAAAAAGAAAAAAAGCATGCATTGACATTTCTGCAACTTAATTTTGGATGCATTAAGCCCAGGATTTCAGCCAAAAGGTGATTAATTACGCTGAATGGAGTTGAAACTGCAAGCAGTAGATACTCTAAATTTTGGACAATCAGAGCAGGCAATGGAGAATTGATCCGTGAGTTTTCATTTCTTTAATGGGACTTGGCTTATAATCACACCCGCAAATAATCACATAATCACTGAATCATTTTATAAATGTATACCAAAACACTCAAAAAAGTACATTTCCC